TCTCTGCCCCCTGGGGATTCTTGCTACCAGTGTAATTACATAATGACACTACATGGTTCCAACTCATCCATATGAGTGCCGGCAGTGACCCGAGCTAGTGCAAGTTAAATTGTTTCTTCTATCAGAAACTATTTCTTCTATCAGAAGATTTTTTTTTCCATCTAATTCTTGCCTCATGTTTGCCTTAAAGTGCTAATGAAGCATTCGGTCATCCCATCCTCTTAGCTACCGGCTCAAAGCTACTTGAAAAATGGAAATGTTATTTTACTGACTCCTTCCCTCCTGGGCATTTCCACACCTGGAGAGGGATGCTTACATTAAGCAAGGAGGGAAGCTGGTAACATGAACTTCACCAGAACCCAGGCTGGCTCTAAGGAGGAGGGCACAGCCCCACAGTCTACTACAAATGGGTAGATTTTTTCTAATTCCAAAGAGCAAGTTGCAAAGTTTTTTGCAACAGTAGCTAGGTAAATATCCCGAGGAGTCCTGGAGGTCAGTCCATCTCCTCATGGTTTAATGGTATGCAGATCTTGGTGGAGGGTGGTGTTTTACAGGCTGAAATGTCCGTGCAGTTCCATGGGCAGGGCCTTAGATTCCAATGATGAAAACAAAGCATAGAGCATTGTGTCCATAAAATACTCTACATACACAGAATAACTCATGTGTATCTCAAGGAATTTGCTAAACTTCCTAAGCCATGCCACAGCCTTGTGGCCTTTATTTTGCTGTAGTCTAATAATTTTGAACAGAGAGGACTCCTCATGCAGTTTATACAAATATTGCATCTAGACATATTTAACGATTTTACCTTATGTGTTTTATTTTCTGAATTTTTTATATAGCCACCACATACACTTCTGGCAGAACACAGTCCCTGAATACACGGAGATCGGCAACCACAGCATTTTGTTCTCAGCTTTATCCTGTAAATCCACTATACCATTTTCTTTTGCCCCAGTGAAAATGCAAAACTTGGCCCATATATAAAGACTGCTAAAAGGCCTCTCAATCTGCAAGCTATCCTTCTGCTAATGAAGAGATTAACATACCTCTCAATGTCTAGAATTGTTCTTGCTGTTTTGTAATTTGTAACCTCGGGTCCTCTCCACTTCATTGTGTTTTCAATTACTCTCCCTTCTTCTATGCAAAGAAAAAGCTTTCCTCTTACTAAGAGCAGGAACTTTCCTGTTAGCTGCACAAAGGCAAGACTGCTCCATTAAGATGAAACTTAAACCCCTTTGTATAAATTAAGCTTTTGGTTTCTATTATTTTTCCCCCAGAACCTGTACAGAACAAGATGCTTTTGAAAGGAAGAATATATACAGTGTCAAGCTTGCAAGATAAGCTTAGGAGAACTCTTCGGTGTGTTTTTCCCTCCTCCCCTGCCCCTTGCCCCAGACAAACTACCAGTTTAACATCACACGAGGAACACAAGGACTCATCAGATGATTTACATCTGCTTAAAAGCAGCTCTTTCTCTATGTATTGTGTACAATTATGCAAAAGTATGTAAAAAGTATAGGTCAAGAAAGTAAATCCATGAAGCTAGAGACTGTACAAGTCTACAAATGAAACCTGGGTATGTCCCGTACTGACCATCCACTTTCTGAAATGTTTTGAGCCGATTTGGTCCTGAAGTCCTCACTTGCTGTTTGTTCATCCTGGGGTCAAAGGTCTGTGGAGTAAAAACTCAATGGCTCATTTGCAGCTGGCTGCACAGTATCCATACAATGAAATAAGACACATTAGTTCGTTGTAGGTGACTCAGTTAATATAATTTCCAACAAACATACTCCTAACTCCTAAATAACCTTGGGAAATTACCTGTAAAGGAAAGGCCTATGCTCATGCTAAAAAGTAGCTATGTGTTTGGGTGAATTTGGTCTCTTCCAAATTAAGTCAGTGTTAGTGACCAAAATCAGTTGCAAAAAGTTTTCAGAAGTGGATTGGCAGGGGGTTTTCCTGTTGTGAAGTTCCCACCGTGTGACAACATATTAGTCAGGCTCAATGTATCCCTTCTTTCTGAGCTAATCTTTTGAGTTAACACAAAGTGCTTGCCTTTAAAACTGTATTTATTTAAAAACTGGTTTTAACTCTCCTCCTTACAAAGGGAAATTTGGAAAAGTACACATGAACCAATTGTAGCAAGGTGACAGGGGTTGCACAAGTCCTCCTTGTGAATAGCAACTTTGAGAGCTATAAACTATTTCATTCATCTTAATGATTATTTAATCTTGGAAGCAGACAGTAAGTTTCTTGCCTACAGCATATTGAAAACTGACAGAGAGAGGGCATGGTAATGAGAATTTAATAGCAAAATAAATAATACAGAAGCTACTTCACTGATTGCATTATTATTATCCTGCTGAAATCCATAGGAAATCTGTGCTCCCAACACTGGCTAGAGGAGCAGGGCTTTCCCCTGAGCACTCCACGTTTGCAACAGGAAACACGTGGCCTTGGACAAGCGACCAGCTCCGGCTGAGCCCAGAGTGGCGAGATCGAAAAGGCAGCCTGCACGCTTTCCCTCCACCAGTGCTCTCTTCACTGGCCATGAGCGGAAAATAAATACCACTCCCAGATATTTTACAGCCCCAGTCTCAAGGGCATGACTTATCATTTCACTACGGATCATTGAAATAAAAATAACTGCGAATTGAATCATTATCTCTCTGTCTCAGAGGGCACTGCCAAGCCTCCAGCACCCAGGAGATGAAGAAAGCCTCCTTTCATGGTATCTATCAACCTACTTCCCCTCTTGTTCTGAGCCTCTAGAGCTGTTTGACAGGCAAAAACTGTTTTGGCCTTCCAAGGCTCCTAACTTGCCTCTACCAATTACCAACCATCCAAGTTCTGTGGAGAGGTCAGCACTAGTGGCATTATCTGCAAGCTCCATGGCAAAGTGTTTTGCACACTAAATTGCCCAAGATCACCAAAGCAAGTTTATCGCAGTACTGCTTCCCTAAGGTTAGTTGGGATTGACCTGCAGGACTGTTCTGTCCATATTTATGATAACTCTTAACAAATAGAACTAGAACCTGGCACTATTACTAGAGAATATATTCTAGATCTCTAAATCAGTATAATTACCAACCCATGTAGGACTGACTGGTTTTGATTGCCTGCTGAGACTAATACAAAACAATGCAAGCTCATATGTTGTTATATTGCAACAACTACCACTCTTTCAAAGAGTATATATGTTTTGCAACATATGTATTATCCTATCCATCTCTCTCCCTCATGTTTCCATTTATCCTGAGTCTCTTCTGTAGGTTTTGGACCAGAATGTGGTATTGGAAAAACTATTTTCTGTGACCACAATATTTTCACTGCTCCTGTGGGGTCTTTAAATCCAGTCTCGAGGCTGTTGCAGAGTTTGACTTTCTCGCCCCTTTGTCTCTGTAATCATTCTCATTTGTATGGATTTGCTCCTGACAATCTGCGAGAAGCAAAGAAGCAAGCAAGAACAGGCCACTTTTATTCACATGGACACACTCTTCTTTAAAAGTCTCTCAGCCTTCAGAGTTTTGAAGAGAGTGACCTATCCCAACCTCCTTCAGCCAGAAGGATGCTGGCATTTGTTGGCAAAATCCAGTGAGGATTAGCCTGACTACCAACCTGCTGCACTAACAAACACTCTCTCTGCCTTATTTCATCTCTAACATTTAGTCTAGATTTCAAACTCTCCTTTGAAAAGAAGGGTAAGTCTCAAATACTAACAACGTGTGTTAAATACATATACCAAGAATATAATGTACTGGGTACATGGCAAAAAATATGCCTGATCACATATGGTGTCTGAAAAGTTAAAAAACAGACATTAACACTTACAAAACAAGAGCGCAATTAGAATAAAGGTTTACCAAACTCGACTTTTTCTAACATAATATAAAATCTAGCAATATTGTCTCTGACATACAAGTTAATTCTGCACTTCATTTTAACATAGCAGCACAGTGTTCCTGACCTGCCAGCAGTGTGAATCCACCTGCCTCACGGCAACCCATCCCTGAAAAGGCTGTACAGAGTCAGACAGCTCACCTTCCATTCTCCAGGGTACTTTTAAAAGGCAAACCACTGGGGCCTGCTTAACATTCAGGTCTCCTGCAGCTGCTGGCACTGTGTTCTCTGTCATGCATCTGCAACCCTCCCTGTGCCGTAGGTTTCTTCAGAGCCGGGCCGTCAAGGTCCCACCCAGACAGAGAGATGCCCACAGCATACTTTAGAAAACTCCTATTTAATTCAGCCCATAATTCTAACAGACAATGCTGACACAGGCTAACCACGCGGTTTGCAAACCTGCGTGGAGACACTTCCTCAGCACCGGGAAGCCCGGTCACGACCCCAGCTGCGCTCCCGCTTGCCCGGTCCGGCTGCGCTGCCCGCCGGCCCCACTCGTGTCCGCCCCCGCAGCGGGAGCGACACCTGGGAATTAGCCTGCGAAGGGCAAAATAATCCTGTTTCCTCAAGAACGTACTCGTATATACGAGCGCGTGTATATATGCATGTGAGCATGTACATGGCTCGCCAACTTCGGGGACTCGCAGGCGATGCCGGGGGCTGCGTGGGTTTGGGGAAACGCCGCGACCCCGGTGCAGCACCCCAGAGCGGCGGCGGGTGGGAGAAGCAGCACTCGGCGAGGGGAGAGGGCGGCGGGGCCGCGCCGGCCCCTCGGTCCACGGCAGGAGGAGGAGATACCCCGAGCGGCAGCCCAATGGGAATTGTGGCGCTTCCCCTTCTCCCGTTTCCTCTCTCCACCCCCAGCCCCAGGCCGGGGAGGCGGGAGGCGGCAGCGCTGCAGCCCGGCCACCGGCGGGGCACGGGGCCAGAGGGAGCTCCGCACGGCCCCTTCTCCGCCTCCGCAGAAACACCTGCGGGGGGAAGGATGCCGGGAGGTGGCCGCCCCCCTCCGCGGGAGCGCGGGCTGGCTCCGGAGCCGCCCCAACGAGAAGGAGAAGAAGGAGGAGGAAGAGGAGAGGAGGAGAAAGGAGCAGGAGGGAAGTGGGGAAGTTGTGCCTTGCCCGCCCCGCCGAGAGCCGGAGCCATGGGCCCCGCCGGGGGGGCGCGGGCCGCCCCCTCGCTGCTGCTCTCGCTGCTGCTCGGAGCCTCGGCCCCGCTCTGGCTGCGGGCGGAGACGCTGGGTGAGTCCGGGGCCGGGCGGGGAGGGTCGGCGGGCGCGGCCCCGGCGGCTCCCCGCGCTGGGGGCGAGCGGAGGGGTGCGGCGGGCTGCCCCCGCCGCCCTCGCCTCGCTGCTCTGCGGGAGCGTAGCCTGAGCTGCTCTCAGGGCTGTATATAGCTGACCTGGTTAATCCTCGCCGGGTTTATCCCTGTGTCTGAGTAGCTGCGAGATTAAAGTGGTAACCAGCCTTACGGTAAACGTATACTACGACTTTCTTGATCTTTGTTAATTAGGACTTTTTTTTTGTCTTTTATAATAAGTCAGATAAGCGGCGAAAAAGTCTCCGGAAAGTTGCGAGCAGGGGGAGGCCACCTGGGCGCCCGGCCGCGGCCGCGCCTCCTCAGCCCCGGCGGGAGCCCCGGGCGCGGCGGGCGGCGCTGGGTCAGCGGCAGCTCCGCGTCTGCTCCGGCGGCGGCTGGGGCCGGCAGCCCCCGTCCCACGGCCGCGTACAGGCAGCTCTGCTCTCCCGCCGCCTCGGGAAGAGAGTGCAATGCCCGGACTCGTGCCGGAACAAAGTTTCGTAGGAATCTCCAGGGGATGTTACGAGCCTTTTTGTGGTAGTGCGATTTGTTGGGAATAGAGCGCGGGTTCCTCTTTGCCCTGTGTTTTTAAGCTTCCTGTGTAGATGACCAGTACAGCTGACATCTCTGGCCGCGGAGTTGCAGCCTCTTGGCTGTTGCATTGCGTGGCCTGATGCATCCAGTCTTAGAAGACTTCACTGGCAGCTACCGAAAAACTAGCTAGTACTGGAGACTAAGTATCATGATGGGCTTGAGCATTCAGATAACTTAGAAATCCTGTTAATGTTCTGACTTGGCTGCACATTCCAGAACCCAGCGCTGTGCATTAGCTGTATACAGGCATTGGCAGAAAGTACTTTGGCTGATTTATACCTGTTCTTCCCATAACCTCCTATTAACAGAGATTTCTGGTACGCATCCCCACAAAAGGGAGAAGTTGGTATGAGTCGTGTTGCCACTTGCCAGCTTCTTGGTAGCTTTGCTGTTCTGTCCTCCATGTGCTGGGATTCCAATTTGATATGTTCCAGGAAATATATGTAGCAAGGGAAAAACCCATTCTATTAATCCCCTCTTTTCATCAGTGTATTGAGGGGGTTTTTTGTTTGTTTTCTCTTTCACCACTGCTTGTCCCTCAGTCAATGGCACCAGGGAGAAGAAGGTCATTTGCGGTGCAAGCGAGTAATAGTAAGTCTGCTGGGATTTCAGGGGGTTTTTGTGCGTACAGTAACACAGTAGTAAGTATGAATGTCCCTTCTTGTCCATATTCCCAAATTAATTGGTAAAAGCACTTTTGTTTTATTCATGTTAAAAATGTTTCTACTATCAAATCAACAGAATAGAAACACGAGTGCTATTCTGCCTGGTTCTCTTTGGACCAAACTCAGATTTACAAGATAATCTGTCCAGTGTCTAGAAAGCAGAAAATATGTTGATTCCCCACCACACACACTTCATTTCTCCACGGGGGAAGTTCTTCTGTGTTTGTTTATTACTATTACCCTATAAATTAAGGGCTAAGTGTTCTAAAGTCACACCAGTGGAGAAAGGAGATAAGGATAAGTGGATACAAACTTCCTGTTACACAAGCTTCTTGACTTGATTTAAAAGTCGTAATGGAGCAGGAGATGTGCCAGAGTGAATCAGGCTCGAGTTTCAGATAATTCTGTATCTTGTCACCACTGGTATTTCCCATCAGCTGGTTCAAAGAAATATGCAGTTGTTTAAGTATATTGGTGTTAAAAATATCCATTTTAAAAAATGAAGCATTATATTTTTCTGACTCCTCATGAGCTGACTTTACCTTCCTCTTAACTTTTTCTTGTGGGGTGCTACAGAACAAGGATGAAAGGGCTGTTATACCTTCTGTTCTTTTACTTTGGTTTCAAATTAAGGAAAGACCCCTTTTTTCACTGTGTCTTGGTTATTTCAGAGAATGGCTTGTATCTGAGTGTGGTTATGTAGAGTCCAGGTGTCAGCACTCTTTCCCTTCTTGAAAATATGTTAAATGTGTGTGTTGTCTGAGGAATCTATGAATGTGGAATTTTGTTGTCTATAAAATGATAAGAAAGGCTGAACATCAAGGGAAACAATTTTAATTTAAAAATATTTATAGACTTAGTAGGTCTCACCTGGGAACAAATACTACATCTATGACTGTCCATGAGTAATATATGGCTTTGGGATTTATAATAAAAGGTGGTTATTTTCTCTTTTTATTCTGCTGTACACCAATCTTTTGGGGTTTCAGTTGCCAGTTCTTTACTGACAAGTAAAAAATATACCTTTTTCTCTGTCTGCCAACTTCACACAGCCATCCTGTATCCTGGTATGTCTTCTAAAAATTTCCCCCAGCGGTTAAATCCCAAGGCAGAAGGGAGCCAAACCTGAACACATTATCTTTGCCTTTCACCATTCCTTGTTTTTTTTTTTTCTTCTGGTGTTGTTGAGCAAGACCTTGAACCATGTAATTGTGAGCAGCAGAAATCAGAAGTGAATCTGAGTCTTCCAGAGTTTTGACTCATTTTCTATCACATTTCTGGCCAGTAGGACTTAAAACTGAGCCAAAGGTTGTTTGTTTGTGGGAAGGCATAAGAGGAATGGGGATTTTAATCTATTAAGTACAAGATTTAAGCCACTGCTCTTGCTGTACCTCATTTATTTTCACTTCAAATAAAACACAGCTATGAAACTAGTTCATGTGGGATTTGCAGATCAGCATCCAGGAGTGAGCTTTGCTTGCTGTATTCCTGGGTCTGTTGACAATCGCACCCAACGCCCAGCTGGAAGAATCGATGGGGAGTAGACTATTATATGTTTTGAGGAAAGGTTGTTATTCAATGTGACAAGACTGTATCCAGTAATTACGAGAGATTATGCCTGTTCTCAGGGGCTTGCACAAAACCCTTGCTGAAGAATACTGGTGTGATCATGCTAATCCACTTTGTATGCCCATTTCCAGCAGTTTGAAATGCAGATTGAGATGAGTCTTTCTTGTACCCAAACCCCCGCCCCCCGCTTCAGTTTCTGAATATAAGTGATTGGTAAATTTTCAGTTTGTTTGCGTTTTGTCCTTATGTCTGTTTCCTTCCTTGGCTCCCTCTCTCTTGCCTTGGGAATGCTGACTAGAATTGCTAAAGAGGGAGGCAACAGTTTTCCAGTTGCAGTTCATAAGCAATGCAAGTACCCACCACAAGAAAACTGCAATGTTTTCAGTCACACAGACTTTGCTATAAATAGCTCTGAGCTCTTCATAAGTACTTCTCTTTAGGTTATCAGAGGATGTATTTCAAACAAAATCAAAGACAGGGAGGGCAGCAGGAGTCTCTCTGACAATGAGGAGAGAAAAAGATGCTTTGGGAAAGTTGTTTCCTACATGGCTGTTGAATCATATTTAACGACAATTATTTGTTGATTTGCATATGCAAAACTATGCTCCTTTATATTTATCAAATACAAGTGTCACCTTCAGTCCACCTGAGTTACATGGGTAGCACAGTAAAAACTAGCTTGAAAAAATATCACTTTTGAGGACAGTCATGCTACTGTATAGAGATGCCTAAAGTACCTTTTCAAAAGTATCTTAGATACCAGGACTGGTATAGTTTTGAAAGCCCATCTGAGCTCTCACACCATGCTGAGAAGTGTGGTCCTGTGTGGTGGCAGGCAGTGAAGTCCTCAGCACAGACATCACTGTAGTTTGGGGCTGGCTCTATCGGATCAGATGCTCTCCTGTGGCATGTACTCATCAACATATGGGTTTGCACCATCTGCTAAGAATAAAACAAGCCAGACAAAATCAAAATAAAATCCTTCTGACTGGGTTCAGTGGAATGGTGTTGGATCCCAACTAACTGCAATAAAAAATATTAATAGCAATGCATAAGAATGAGCGCACAACTTCCCCAAAAGGTTTAATTAGTGTTACAACTGGGAGTGGGAAACTTCAAACTGGGACAAGCTAATAGTGATGCTTAAATAAAGAAAAGGATAGTGGTTTGACTAGTTTTAAGAGTATACAGATACCTTCACTTTTGCTTTCAAAATAAATTACAAGCTAGCTAATTAAACTGATTTTTGCTTGTGAAAATTGTGAGAGTGCTAAAGCCACAATTTTGAGGTTGGCTGCATGCTTGTACATAGAGAGAGGCTGCCAGTAGTTTTGGTTAGGATTGTTGATCCTGTATAATTAGGCCTGGGAGCTGAGTGTTTTGAGGAGAGGAAGCATTTTGTTCTTTTATTGCCTCTCTCCCTGTCTCTTCTCTTCACAGAGGCAGGACTTGCCTCTCAGGAGTTTCCTTCCAAGACATGAAGGCTTAGTTTGGTGATGGTGGTACTTTCTCATCCTTTTGGAGCAAGATTTCCAGTCCCACTGTGACCATATTTGTTATTTCTCTTTCCCTGATGGGATGGGACTGCTGCCTGGTGACAGCTCCATTCTGCTCCCCCACGTAGGCAGAAAGAAGGATGGGAGGGCACCCATGCTGTGCAGTATTTGCCCATCTCCAAAGAGCTTCAGTGAAGGTGCTTTCCAGCCAACCATAATGAGGGACAGGAGAATAAATGGGGAAAGCAGAGCAGGGCAAGGCTAGAAACCCAGTCCCCTGGACTTTCACAGGACCAGGGTGTTCCCTTTTATACTTAGTGTCATGCATTTCAGCTCAAGCTACATCTGTAACTGCATTGTGTTCTTCAGGCATTTAGTTAAGCTCTAAAACATTGTTTCTTCCTTCAGTTGCTGCAGAAACATCATATCCCTCACAGTTTTATTCCATGATGTTCGAGTTTCTGGCATTTCCACCACAAATTGTTCAACAATATTGGATTTCAGTCTAATGCTTTGACATTAAAGTTGAAGTCATGTTGATGTCATCTTCCAGATGTTCATGTCTACTGAATAAAAATTTTGTTTGTTTGTTTTATTTCAAATTACAAAAACACATGG